ATGTGTCAGAGGGTACTGTGTGAACGCCTTTTGTTTGGAGTATCACAAGTGTCCACGGTTCATCAAAGCCTGTAAATGAAGATCCATTCCTTTCACATGTTTACTTTGTCACTGTCTACCAGACCTGTCTGATGGTTAGAAATGTTTAAAAATATATTATATACATGATGATGTTCATAGTACTTCTGACTTTTCTTTTACTAGCGCCTCTTTAGTTAGGCTTTGATTATCTACAGTATCTGACAGATCTGGTATGTATGTACAATAAATTTTGATTCATCGAATATGTAGTCACAGATTTCCCAGGTAATGAACCAACAAAATGACACTAAACTTAACTTTTCTCAGGATGGAAACAGTCCTGCTTCTTTTTTTGTCACGTGAAACATTCGCTGCAACACCCCTGTGACCTATGAGCAAACAAAGAACCTTTTCAGTGCAAGCAGCACCATATCCAATCCCTCAAGAATTCTACTATACAGATCTTTAAGAGCAACTTTGCGGAAAAAAATCTGTAAATTACAGAATCAGGACATCAAAGAAACAAAAAGACAACCTCCCCCCCCCCCCAAACTTGAGTATATGGAGTTGCACTAGAACTCATTAAGTATTTGGCACTCTGAGTTTGTCCTGCTGACTGTGGCTGCTGATGTTTCTGTGGTGTTTAGATGTGAATACAACAGAAACACAGTGTAGAACACCATTTACAGTTACAAAGATTTGGGAAATACAGACCGTGACCAAGGGGCCTCCTTGTGTTGATGATGTGAATACATAAGATAGGGACAAATAAAATCAATGGGTGGTCGTCCACTGAAGAACACCGAATGATACATCAGTCACCAAGTTGCTTGAGAGATTCATCCTCACATCAATCTGTGTTTGCAAAGCCAACAGCCGCAAGCTGCCATATCTCCTTTGAGTCAGCTTTGCATGGTGTGGGACAAATGTTACTGTCAGTGCAGCCAGGCAGAATTGTACAGTTTCTGCCTTAACTTTTCCTTCTGCACCTCTTATTGTCAGGCGAATTCAGACTTCAAAATCTTTCTGATAGATCTGACAAATGTGTAAACCCTTGAAAAGATCAAGATTTGTGTCAAAAATATTCTTAAAACCTCACATTGATAGAGGTAACAGTTTGCATGTGTTTTTTTTAAATTTATAGGTTATAGCCAACAAATGCTCAGCATATGTGGAAACTGTTTCAAAACTGTGAAAACATCCTGTGAGATTTCCTCATGAGAGGTTGAGAGAGTAGAGAGTGTGCAAACTTCCTGATAACAGCAAGTGTAAACTTTGAACAAAGAAATGTAAAACATGCATTTGCACCTTTTTTGTGCTCCCTATATACATCGAAATGTGATATTTCATAGTTTTGATGCCTTCAGTTTTGTTGTACATGGTGAAAACTAGCAAAAACAATAAGAAAACCGGAATTGAGGCTGGTACATTTAAATACTTTGGCCTACAATATAAATAGCAAAATGAGGCTTGTGCTAATGAAATGTTAATTAAAAAGAAGGATGTCAGAATATTTTAAACATTAAACATTTTGATTGGCTGGAATGTGATTTTTAATCAACCAGACTCCTCCGATGCAAATGTTTGTGTTCTTTAGTTTGCAATTATTAAAAACTTGTAGATAAGTTCTGCACAATTATGTTTTCAAAACATTGTTTTGTTCATTCGCATCCCGGTTCGGGCGCCTGGGATCTTTCTGTGTGGAGTTTGCATGTTCTCCTCATGCAGCGTAGGTTTTTCTCCGGGTTCTCCGGCTTCCTCCCACAGTCCAAAATCATGTTGAGGTTGATTGGTGTTTCTAAATTGTCCGTAGGTGTGAATGTGAGTGTGCTTCATTTTCTGTCTCTATGTGATAGATAATAATAATTATTATTTTCTTATTTATGGTCACATCATCTGTCCATTTCAATGTGTGTTGAAATTCCTCACTCTCAGCTGCTTGCAAACCTTTTCTCAATGACTGCCACTCTCATGACAAGTCACCCGCAGATGCCATGACAGCAAAGTGAATTGATTTTGTGTTCTCCCTTGCTAGAGAAGGGGAACCTATTTAGCATGAGGGACAGTTGTGTTTAAACATAGTATTCATGCTTGTTTTAACTTACCCAGTGTGTCCAATTCCTAAGCATGCATGGTAATAGGAAAAGGGAGGGTGAGCACTTTTGGGTCAAGTGAGGTTTCTGTTGTGGATACATTTCAAAGATTGTAATGATGGAGCGAAGTCTTCAGGTTTAGCATCCATTAACACTCAGACACTCAGGCACTGCTCCTTGTACATTGTTTCTTGGTATTTATTTCCATATTGTCAATCACATGGGCAGAGGGAGGGTTTTTTTTCTTTTTCATAATTTGTTCAACTTTTTTAGATATTAGACTTATGATGGGTTAACAGTGTGTTAACTTTATGATGGCTCTATCTTTGCCTATGCACCCCGTAATCCCTCTTTGTCAAAGCCTTTAACGAAGAGGCAGGTTTTAATTACCCTAATCATTTGAGAACATTTTCTACCATTAAAAAAGCATCTGTGAAGGCTGGAATCTACTCTTCTGGCGTTTATTGACTGGAAAGTGGCTTTGAGGAACAGCAACAGTTGAAAAAAAAAAGAGGGTATTTTGAAATTGGGGGTATTGAACAATAAGATTAAGGATTTTGTTTCAATTTTTCAACCTTAGTCATATAACAGGAAACACACATTCAAGGGGATTTCATGCATTAGAATGCCCAATATTACTCTTTCAAATGTTACTAATGTTGAGTATGGCCACCCCTGACACGGATCAATGTGTTAAGACATCGTGGCATACTGTCACTGATCTTGTTGATGGTGTCAATGGGCAGGACGTCCAACTTTTATGTCAGATCCTGAAGTCAGAATTGGTTTCACCTGTAACTGGGACTTGGTATGTAATCATTGCACCTGGTCAGAAGTGATTACTGATGTGTATGAATAGAAGTAAAAAGAGGAATGTGTCTAAAACCAAAAATGATTCCAACTTTATGGGTGACAGTATATTTACTGCCTATTCAGTGCCAGCAATGGAGACGGCACAAAGCTACCTAAGTGGGTTGTGATTAGCCAAATAAGTAAGTGGCAACAAAGTGTCAGTAGGGAGTTACTGTGGTCAGGATGAAATAACCAAATGAGCACCTGGAATACTCAGTGTGGTTAAAAATGGTAACTAGCTCTTTATGAGTGGATTTTTCATCTTGTCACTCTGTCACCCTTTTCAAGCAGTAAGTAAACAATAAATCAAATGTTATCAGAGAAGGAGTTCAAGCATTTGTCTTGTTAATGACTTAATAACTGACCTATAAAGCATTTAAAAATGACTTTTTAACCATAAATAAACTTTTTAACTACAGCTTATAAACCATTTTATAAAGTCTGGATTATTAGAAAGTAGCACCCCGAAGACATCCTTATCTAAAGTGTGTATCTTTTACAGAGGTGGTGATGACATTCAGACTGTCTTAAGAGTGCAGCTGCGATAGGACCAGGCAGGGGTGGCGCGAGTCATAGAACACTATCAAAATGCGTACATTGTCTGTATATGAATGTTAGAATGATTGTATAATAAAATTTGCTTTTGTTCGTCCAAAAAAGGAATAATACATTTGCTTGAAACTTGCAAGCCTGACATTGCATCTTAATACAGAAAACTTTATCAAAAAGTATTTCAGTCTTAACACAAGGAAACATTGGTCATAACTGTGAAGTCACAAAATGTTGATATCTATGACAAATTACAGTTTACATAAGAAAATTAAGGTTTTATTAGAGTTTTTATAGTTCTATTGAGGCAGTTGTAAAGTGTGCTGAAACACTGTGATTCTGGCTAATATTAAAGAATGCTAACAGTGACCTGAAGCAAGAGTTTAAGACGTTTAAATTTAAGCCAAGTTTGGTTTATTTGGCCTAAATGTGTTAGTTGCTTTGTCTTTAAGCCAGTGAACGTCATGCACACAGCAGTCATGTTTCCCACTGAAATATACTTGAGAACAGTAACTAGCTGCCTTTTTAGGACAGACCCAGCCGAGTTTAATTTTTGGTTATATAGTGCTACTGTAGAGATCATACAGAGCTGAACAGAACCATGAACATATATGAGCACTGCATCGCAAGATGCAATATTGCAGGAAATTAAATTGAATACATTATAAACTTTATAGTCATGTTGTAATATAATAATTTTCTCATTTTTTCGATAAAAATATAACAGTGTGCTTTGTGCAAAAGCATATTACTTTTGCAGATTAGTTCAGCATGTAACAGGTAATAAACATAATAAGTATTAATAAAAAAATAAAGTTGCAAAGCTACATGGCAAGTTGTAACTGAGATATGAAAGTTAAAGCTTTTTCAGAGTCTGATAATGAATTTAATGCACCGCGACACCAGGCTTTAGTGGTGGAGCAGCAACACTTAATCTCAGTCAATGTGAGTCAGACACAATGATCTGTTTGTGACAGAATACAACCTATAATAATTATTGTCCCATCCTACCTGAATGTCCAGTATTACAGTGTGTCACGTGGTAACACGGTAATGATTGCACCACAGCTGAACACCAGAGCTCCAACTGTCTTTTCACTGTGACACTTATTAACCAAATCTGTAACCTCAGAAATCTTTGATAAATGTAGAAAAGTGTGACAAACTGAACATTCATGTGACAAACGTGCTTGTTTACCCTCAGTAGATGCATCGTCACACAAGAGCAGGCACATGACTGTAAGTCAGGGTAACTAAAGCTTAGCAGCAGACCAGAAACGTTTTAGAGCCGGAGAGGAGATTACAAAATAACAGAGCCACTCTTTTTTTTTGACAGTGATACTCGGTTTCCCTGGTGACGTGAGGTGGTTGAACGCGCTGTCCCCCTTACATCTGCGGTCAGTCCGAGTTTTACTCTCACTGTGTGTGTTTGTGTATTTGGAGCTCACAGAAACAACTTCACAGCACCTTGCTTAGTTTACCAGAATGCATCTGACTACAGAGGAGAAGACAGAGCTGGGACTCAAGGAGCAGGGGACAGTCAATCCTGCATTTGGGGTAAGTGAAGAGCCGCCTTGATTCTCGCTAAATACTACAGTCTGATTTTGTGACACCAGCAAAAAAAAACAAAAAACAAAACAAAACAAAAAAACCAAGTGTCAAACACTGGCTAAGGTTTTATGACTACACTATATCACATTCTAATACATACAGTAAAACATGAATAGCTCTATTTTCAAAGTATTTCTTTGACGTGTTGTTCCACATTTACTAGCCCAAGAAGAGAAAAAAGAAGTACAGTGTGATTTTCTTACAATACAGCAATGGGAGTACAATGTAAGCCACTGTGGAATGTAAAAACCACCAAAGTCACTACAGTTCCATGAGAGAAACGAACATTTCAATGCAATCGGTTGCATGGTTTCAGAGTTTGTGGTAGGCGATAAAATTAATACATGTCAACCAAGATCCAGAAACTGAATAAAGTACTTTGAAGCTGTGGTGTGCCTGTGCGTGTGTGTGTGCATGTGTGTGTGAATGGTAAAAAACAGTGGACTGCATGTGGCGTGCAAGTGTACACAGCTGAGTCAAGGGTTGGTGTTTCTTTTTTCTTTCGGTGTCCATCAACTGAAGAATTTAGAAAAATAAGAACATAAAAACAAACTTGACAGCAGATGAGTCAACATGTCAATCTGTCAGCATCTGCAAAGAAATACATGCAAAGGCACAAGGCCTCATTCATTATTTTAACCTTGTATCGTATACTTGACACTTGTGTGCAAAGGCCCAACCTAAAATGAATTCAAATATGTTGAAATAGGGATTATAAAGGTTACAAATCCAGTGGCGCTTGCAAACTTTGGCATTCAGATTAAGTTTTCATTTTCAGACTTTGATCATGAATTTGACAGGAATGTCTTTCTGACTTTGTGCATTGTTTTTTTTTTTTTTGTTCCACTAATGCTTATGCATATTGTCCACAAGATGTGTTTTAAATCAAGTCTGCTTCTTTTTCGTCTTTCTGGTTCATTTAAGCTCCGTTGGGACCAGAGCAATGAGTTATACAATACATTAAAGTCCTTTTATACTAAAGGAAGAAAGTTCTAATGTTATGGAGTCATGGGATGTGTACAGGACACTTTACGCTGCATTTCATATAAATAAGAGACATGTCATGGTGCAAGCAGATATTTTTATCCTATGTATGATTGAATTTCAACAGTTTAGTGTTTTAGTGCCCTTTTAAGATTTTCTGCGGCATTTAGGGTTAAAAATATCAAACATGTTTTGCACGTGAGAAATCCCTGCAGATAACTGATTCTAACCGTGATAAAATGGAAGCAGATCAGGGTACGTGTCTAACAGGGAGACAAAACAATTTCAGCTAATGCAGCGATCATGACTGTCTCGGATGTAAATTGATAACTTAAGATTTATATTGTTTATCAGTGAAATCCATGACTTTATTTTTCCTTGTTCCCCATGCTGTAAATGGACATAAGACTGCTTTTTAAATACACAGAACAGTAAATGCAGAATTGTCATGTCTGGAGCTATGCAGTTAAATGAAAAAGTAAATGTGCTTTTGGCATCTTCCCCGTGAACTAGACAAGAGAGCATTTGTTTGTCGGTACAGTGGAAGTCAGGCCATACCAGTGCACTTAGGGTGTCAGGTGTCAACAGGTTAAACTCTAAAAACAAAGGCTGGCTTGATGGAAAAAAGGAATTTGTTTACCTTTGGTTACAGGAACACTGTCACGGTACAGTAACCCTCGATAGTGTTTTAGCGTTTAGATAGCAGTATTTAAAATGAAGTAAGAAAATACACAGCAGTAGATACAGCACATGCTATACGTATATGTGTGCATGCATATTTTACAGAGAGTGTGCAAATCAATAAACAGAAGGTCAGTCATCAGCTAATCTTCAAGACGGCTCTTCAACAGGTCCTAAGCCTTCAGCTTAAGTTGGAAAAGCTGTAGATTTTTTCCCCCCCAAAATTCATGATTCACAGTTTTTGAATGGATAAAGTGTCATGCAAAAAATTTACAGTAAAAAACTCTGCTTGTGTGAAAGAAGAGGTGAGGCAGGTTGATGGCATCTTTGGCTCCTAAAAATGTTCACTGGAGAGAAGCCGCTTTGACTGTCAAGGGGAGGCAAGCACAAGCAGCGTAGCAAGAACAGCAGCATTGGGTGGACAATTCAGAGTCAGTGAATTTCAGGGAGTTTAGGGAAGCACACAGCACATTGCTTATCTATTTTTGAATCTATTCTGCAAATATGCAGGCTTTAGTTTTTCTCATTAACACCCTAAGACCACAATTTGTAAAAGCTAGATGGTTGAGGCGGTTACGGCTTTCAGACATCTGGGCATTAGACTAAACAATAACATCATCAGAAGAGCATAAAAATTAATCAGTCATCGGTAATCTGTAATACCACTTGGTTTCATTCTGCATCACAGCCTCATTGAGCCGGTTTTTCCATTTTCTTAGGTGTGCTTAGCAGTGACTGACCAGAGAAGCCTCTTTAAGATTGTTCTACAGCCAGCAAACTAATTCTTCACAGCCCAACTTATCTGTCCACATCATCACAGCTGTGACGCAGAAGGCACACATCTCAGCACATGATACTGTGCACCAAATAATCACGCTAGCTAGCTACAATGATGATTAGCCACACATAATCCGTTTTCATACATCCATGCATCCATCCATCAATCCATCCAATGCAAGTGAGATACCTATACTCGCTATAAATTACAGTATTAGTATTAGAGTCAAATTTAAAATCAATTCAAAGTACTAATACCACTGTAAAAGTACTCCATTACAACTAAAAGTGCAACTTTGAAAATGTTACTTAATTAAAAATGTATACTTTATTTTTTATATGTATTTATACACAGTGCTTACCAAATTATTAGACCACCACTCAAAGTCAGGTTTATGCCACAGCTGTCCTAAATTAATCGCATTGGAAATTTCCAAAATAATTTTTTTGTTTCTGTAAAATAGTAAATACACCAGTATGTAATTAGCTCTTTAAATGAAATATTTGTAATGCAAAATTTTTTACTGTGATTGTTATCCATGAATTTTCAAAATTACTGTTTCACAAAAAAAAAAAAACAGAAAAAATAGTAAAGCACATTATTATTTCTTGATTAAGAAGTCAAATTATAGTTATTCACTTGCATTCCTGAATAAAAAAAAAAACAATAATTTTAGTGCTTGAATGTTACGCTTGATTAATTTGTCACTTCTCGAAGAAGCCCAGTGAGCCGGCTCAGATTTGGGTACAAAAAGGTGAATTCAGTTTTGTCTAAAATGGTAAAATGGGGCAAGCTTAGTGTGAATTAAAGCACTTCATGATGCTGGATGGTCTGTATCTATCTATCTATCTATCTATCTATCTATCTATCTATCTATCTATCTATCTATCTATCTATCTATCTATCTATCTATCTAGTCACACACACACATGCAGTGCTTGCTAAATTAGGTGGTCTCATAAATTAGTTAAGCATATATATATGCTCCTGCATTCACATAAAAGCAGGTTTAGGTTGTAAACATTCTAAATATAGTTACTAATGCTGTCACAAGTGCTCAGAACTATTTTTAAAATAGGTGCTACTTTTGTGCCAGATTGGCTCATTAATTAATCAGCTAATTGTTTCAGCTGCACTTACATTATGAGCTCTTGTGGAGTTTTATTTACAACAAAATACATGTTGTAAATTCTTCATGAATTTCGTGTGCAGAAATCTTAATTTGTAAAGTAAATGGTAACTAAAGATGTCAGATAAATACACTTTTCAAGTTCCAAGTATCCAATTCACACATTTATTTTTATTTAACATGGTAATGAAGTCAAGCCGGTCCATAGTTGACAGTCAAGATGTGACAGCGTATGAGGACAGAAGGAGAAGGACATTGCACCAACAAATGTCCACAGCTACGTTCACAGCAGGAAAATTCAATGATGTGGCTATAAAGATATTGGTCTCTGAGATTTCTGCTACCACCCAGATAAAATGGAGGTGAATGGGACATTGTGTTTGGTGCATAGTCTCAATATGAGCTACTACTGTGGGCGTTCACTGTGAGATTTGTTGATTTGCCTGAGTAACAGTATTTTTGGAGAGTTCTTTTACTTTTTCCAACACCACATTAGGCGAGAGGCATCATCACAAAACCTAGACAAATGAAATGCTGCAGCAATGGTCTACACAACCTAAACCTGCCTCTCTAAGACATCGAGTCACTCCTGGTTACACTTAGATTAGATTAGTTAGAACTTTATTGATCCCTTTGGTAGGGTACCTCAGGGAAATTGTTGTTCTAGAAACAGCACAAAACCGACAAAGACAGTAGCACACATCAATAACAACAACAACAAAAAAAAAAAAAACGTACACAAGGAAACAAAGGAAACAAACTGTTGGGAAGAGCAGCAGCACGGTGTAATACTGGTAATAATGTAAGGCTGCCTTCTTCCAGCCTTAGCTTCATAAGTTTGATTACTCACGGGCTGTGGGTAAGGAAAAGCACGGGGACAACATTCTCCATTTCTCACTCTTTCTTTTTAATGTCCTCTTAGTCAGGAAGACAGCAGCAACTCACTCCAGAACATAGCAAAGTGATTGGTCACTTCACACCATGTGCTCTCAACCATCCTTGACCTTAAAGGGACGGTGCATCGCATTAACCTAACCTCAACTCTATAATGCCTGGTATGAATTTACCTATAATTAAATTACTTAGATGTCCAAATAAATCACAAAATAAAATAAGGTAATTTATCATTTAAAATATATCTTCACAAAAATAAATCTCATCTTACATTCTTCCCCTTCTTCAGATGAAATGTCCTCATTTCAAAATCCCATGAAAAATAAATCTCATCCCAACCTGAGAAGCAAGCACCAACACTATACATTCTCTATAACTGCAGGGCAAATGGAAAAATTTGCACATCTTAACAGGTACACGATCAGAAATAACTGTCGAACTTATTCTGTAAAAAAAATTCCTGAAAATGTACCATATTTTAGAA